TGATGATGATGAAACATGTTGATAGCTATTCAGTGTCTTGGTCAGGGATTCTTCAGCAACACAGATATTTGCAGACAGCCACTTGCCACAGTTGTTGACTATCTGCAGTGCAAGGTTTGTACAAACTATTGTAGAATTTTGTAGAATCAATCATCAAACATTCATTTTATGATGAACACGGTGGATAAAAGGCTGGTAATTTATGCACCCAAGCTGTTTTTCACAGTTGAAGTGAAATACAGTTTGTGTATATACTGTATTTTTCATGCTTGCACTATAAGCAGTTGAAAAGGATGTGATTCCATTTCTGACCACCAAGTGTCAGTGTTTTCCACCAGAGTCTCAGTGTAACTGCTGTTTAGCTTTCATTCTGATTTGGTGGCAGATTTCATTTCTTGAAGGCCAAGGATTGGGTATTTCAAAGGCTGATCCAAAATCTGTCATCAGTGACTACCGAAACACTGTTTATGCTTTTCTAGGGCTCAGCAATGGATTAGTACATCTCTGTGGCAGAAGTGACAGGTTGTATGTAAATAAACCTAATTTGCTTCTGCTGACAGAGAAGCAGACTGAGAGAAAAAGAAGAAGATGGAGTAATATGTGGGTAAATAAAAAACAGAAAGAGCAGGGAAAAGACAAAGGGTAGCAAGAAGATATTTGACATTGTGGAGTAGGCGGAAAGGAAGCAATGAATAATAAAAGATGGGGGAAAATTCACAGTCTTTGGTGCAAATATGATGTAAACCAGGAGGTACAGTAAGGAGGTAAGATAGGGGAGGTGAAATATGAAAAGAGACACACAATAGACCAGACAGAGCAAAGGATAAAGAGGGCAGTGCTGAGAGAAAAGAAGGTGAACAGAATAAAAAAAAGACATGGGAAGAGGCGACAGAAAGATAAATGGAGACAAGATAAGTGAGAGGAGAAAGGAAGGAGACAGAAGATGAGAAACAGAAAGATGAGAGGAGATAGAGGGCATGGGACAGAAAAAAACGAGATAAGGAACAGTATACAGGGGAGCTGGAGCATGACTATTTTATACTCTCATTTGCATATTCATTCCAACTCATCTTACAAGCCCATATCATGTTTGCTGACTCTGTCCTTCACTTAAAAATATAATTTGTACAGTGAAAATCATTTTTGTCCTTACATTTTGGACAAGAAAGGCTCTCAAACTACGTGGCAAATGATATTTGACAGTATTTCAGTGTGTCTAAATGATGTTAGGCAAATTACCCAATACTGCATTAGTAAAATACCCAGGATCTACTCTGTGAAGGCATGTTCCATTCCACAGATCTCGTAACCTTTTGTGCAGTTGATCATTTTGACTGAAGATGTCATCTTTTGAGCTTTGTCAGTGGTCTGGATGATAAATGTGATATGTTTTGATTTCAATCAATGCATATTAACCAGAAAGTGTTTCATCATCATCATCATATCATCATTGTCATTTTCACAATCATCATAACACAACACACCAAAGATTTCTGGGAAACGTAGTCTACACAACGCACCAAAGATTTCTGGGAAACGTAGTCTTTAAGGCCCTCAGTCATCATGGCTGCTGCAGTTTTTATGTAACAAACTAAAATTTTATTATTCTTTACACACAGTCTATAGGAACATTATTAAGCTAGCTAAGATACTTAGCTAATAACAGCACAAGACCTGCAGACCAGGGGCTGAGAGGGCAATGTTTCTAGAGTCATAGAAAGAGTTTAGTATTAACCCGTTTTCAGTTACAGCCCCCAAGTCCCATTATTTTCACTCTTTTTGCACTGAACTAAATTTTCACATATGCCCTGAAGATGACAATGGTTATTTTAAACCTATGGATATCTAAATTACTTTGTCATGGCTCATCTCCTCTGTCTCTGTAGATTAGTGAGATGCCTATTGATGCTTAGACTTAATCTGAAATGCAGACTTGATCAGTATTGGAGTGAAGAATCAAATAATTGTAGACCAGACTCCAACTTTTACCCATCTTGACTTATTATGCATGCCACCAGCACAGTCATCTACAATTAATACTTTTTTTTTTAAACTTTTGTGGTTTAGCTGTTACTATAGTAACTGGTGCAAGGTTCATAAATGCAGAAAAGTGTAAGGGTGTGGATGTCAGGGTGGTGGGTGAAAAGATCTGATTTCATGTACAATCTCATTCAAGACATTGGCTATAACATTTTTATTATTTCACCATAGCAACAGCCTTTCCCCAGCCCTTTCCCATTTACTTAAGGTGCATATGTTAGCTATGATATGTGGATATTGGAGAAATAAAATATTTAAAATGTTTGAAGGGAAGATACTGCATGTATGACAGCTTGCCATATGGCTAGCATGTTTCACCATAAATTCTAATGTTGTTTGTTATTTCAAATCAACCCCATGAAATTGTCATTTGTATGAGATAAAGCTGGTCTTACAGCATTATGTGGAAAAAAATCATAATAAAACAATAAGGGTAGCCACTGACTACGCGATTGTATGCTAAATGTTGTCCACTTAATTCAGTTCAGAGATGAGGCAGCAATATGGGGCCCAATTACACCCTGACCAAACTCTTTCTATGCTTTCCAACTACTGAACATAAATAAATGAACACAACAATAAACATTACAGAGATTTAAAACCTGAAACAAAACAAAATGTAAACATTCTAAACACAGCAACAAAAGACGTACATCATGAAGTGACACAGAAATCTGTAACAGTTATGTCCAAAACACTTTTGGGATTGCTAGGCCAGCACACCATGTTAAAGATTGTATAATAATATTTATCTGCGTCATACCTAGATATAAGATAACACACTATAAATATGTTTACTTCCAGCCAATTAAAAACTCAGAGTGAAATTTTATTATTCTTTACACACAGTCTATAGGAACAGGATTAAACTAACTAGAATACTTAGCTGCTGTGGGGGGGGGGGGGCAACATAAATATTTTAAAGACATAAATAGGGATATTTTTGAAAACACGGTGTACAGCAAACAAGCTAGCTTTTGTTGTGAACACACTGAGAAAGTGTGCTAATCACATATATTTCAATAAGTGATGATTCCTAAGTTAACAGGACTCTTTGGCAGTGAATCATTTTCATGTGATGGTGACACAACTTCTGTTGCATATTGCAGATCCTTTGGGAAAAACACAAGGGACAGCATAACATTTGAGGGGATGGGTGAAAGGAAAGAAAAGAGGTGGAAATCTTTGAGGAAGTATGAAACACTTTCCATAAATAGTACTGGGTTTAAAGATGGATGTAGAGATAAATGTATGACAAGGAGGAGGGGGAAACATAGCAGCGTCTTTTTTTGTTTAATCCCTTGTTCTTTATAACCCCTCTGGTCAACTTGCCAGTTTTAGAAAGAAAAAGAAGAAAGGGAGGAGGGAGAGGAAAGCCAGAGGGGAGCTGATCAGGGAAATAAAGTGCAGGAGTTTGACATTTGTAGTCCTTAGATGAATTTTTGTAGTCCTTGCAAGAGACAGAGTTCTCTCAGATAATTTTCCATGACATAGTAGTGAACTTTCACCTTTGAGGGTGAAATCAGTTTGGAAACAACCTCTGAACAAAGAACGTTTGCTTTAAAGCAAAGTCAGTGGTCTATTAATTCCCTTCATTAAAACTATTGTGAAGACTTTTATGAAACCAGCCATAGCCCAAGTTATTCCAGTTAATTTGTTTGACTGCTTTTTTTGCCATGATGTTAGTCTTTCATTGTGTCCAGATACTGATCATAATCAAGCATCAAATAAACAAAAGCCTTTTTTGGAGAAAAAGTGACAAGTACAGGACATTTAAACTCCAGATAAATGCATTGTTCCCCGTTGAAGACTAGCATGCGCAGTTCTGTCTGTAACACCTGGAGGATGTTATTGGTCATGAGAAGATAAAGAGAGAATCGGCTGTGGACCATATTGGGTAGAGCATCCAACCATTGTCTCTGACCTCATGTTTTTGAAAGATCAAGCCATCCATGAATGGGCAATCCAGTTCCTGTTCTACATTTAACACCCCTAACAAGTCTCAAGATACAAGACTCAGGAGACTGATTTCCTATCAGTATATAATCTGTATGTGTTCCCAGTATTGTTTCTGTGATGTTGACTGTACAGTATAAATGACATCCAAAATGTCTCCTTCATTTCCCCCACGCTTTTCAACATTGGCTGACTCTGTGGGACTTGGAGGTCCAAAGGAATGTCAGAGGAGCATTAGGCCAGACAAGGGTGAAGGGTCCTGGGCTGGAGTCCTGGGTTTTTGGAGGAACTGCTGGCTTTCAAGAGGTTGAGGAGGAGATACAAACAAATTAAACACTAGGCACTGCCTGATACCACAACATTTTTTTATTATTGTGAATACTGGTCCAATTGCCAAGATAATACTGTAATTCCCTGAAAATTTATTCCAGTTTTTCAAATACTGATTGACCGTACACCATGTGTGTGTTGTAAGAGCATAAATGATATGTTTCATACTAGAGAGAATACCAAATCATTTTTTTCTCTCAGCCAATATAAGGGTAAATTCACCAGCAGCCAACAGCAGCAGTCGGTGGTTGGTAGGCGAATTGGATGGTTGGTAACAAGTACTGCAGTGAGAATGGCTCCAAAAGGACAAGAAAATCAGGAAGCAGATAAAGTATGCATGTGAGGGAGTGGGTTAGAGACAGGGACAGAGAGGGAGAACATTAAAAATAGAAAGAGGACAAAGAGAGGAAGACAAAAAGTGGGTGAAAGGTGTCAGTTGGAGAATGAGAGGGAGATATACCATAACTGTCTGTGTGCAAGCTCATCCATCTCTCTCCTCTTTGAGCCCTTTTAATTTCACCCCTTCCAACCTTCACCTTTTGGATAAACCCTCCCCTGTTCTATTGTTCCTCTAGGCCACAGAGGAGATCTGTTTCTCCTCCCTGTCCTCCCCATCTGCCTCTCCATCTCCCATCAGTGGCTGCCTCTTCTTCAGCTCTCTCTGGTATTTGGCCATCAGGGAGGCATAGATGCAGCCATACGCTGCGGCTGCAACCATCATGATGCAAACAATGCCACACACCACACCGGCAATCACCACTGTGCCAATGGCACGGCGCACGCTTGCGGGCCGGTAACGGGGACGGACACAATCCGACAGGGCGTCCCCACCTCCACCTCCACCTCCTCCTCCTCCACCTCCTGTATTGGAAGGGGAGTCATCAACAGTGTTGCCACTGTTGTCAGAAATTGGTGTTGCCCCACTGGGGTTAAGAATGTTCCTTCTGCAGGGAGGAGCACCTCCTTGTCCAGAACGAGCTCCCTCACCACCACCTCCTCCATTCTCATCTTCAAGGTGGAGGCAGTAGTTGAACATTTCCACTGGAACACCACGGATGTCTCGCCCACGCAGATCCTTTGGTAGCGTACACTCCACAGCGTCCACCTTGCCCCCTGATAGAGAGGGAAAGCGGTGTAGAGACAAAGGAACAGGGAGTGGTCATTTATAAAATGCCTTATGCCTGTAAAGCACTTCCAATTAACTGAGAGAGAAGAAAGAGACAGAGAGGGTAGTTGTGCCAACAGCAGGATGAGTCATTCATCACTTAACACACAAACTGGGTTTGCTGTGCCCTCTACACTAAGTTGAAGATAGCCTCCACAAAGCCCTTCTATAATTCATGAGATGATATGCCAAGCTTCAGCAGAACACTAGTGTATGTTTGGAAGAGAAAAATATCTGAATTACTAATTCCCACATGCAGGGCAGGGTATTTACTTTGTTTTCATCACATGTTGCATTTGTTTCCATGCATAGTATTTGTCTCGAGGTTGCATGTTAGGAAGCCATTGATCTGTGCCCTTAAAAATGTTAAGCATTAGAAAAAGCAAAGGATCAAAGAAAGACAGAATGAGGAAAGTGGTATTTCGTCCCAGATGCTTTTATCTCAGCATGTGACAAAAGAATCCCCTCTGCAAACACAGCTCGCTCTCTTCAAATATCTCCACATATCCCAGCTGTGTGTGCTTGAAGCAGACAGAAGTCAACACGGATTGCTGTCCCTAAGCTTTTCACACTTCTCTGGTGCCTTGTCTTACTTAACTACTGTCATGCTTTCATTTTCAACTACAAAATGTCACCTTGTAATTTTCTCTGCTGCTCTGATGATTATTAAATTATCATGTCTGCCGTGTGTCAATCTCTGTCTCAAGTGTACTGAACTGAGATGGAGAGCCAAGCCCAGAAAGCGGAAGAGGAGAGTAGGAGGAGAATGGAGCAGAAAAGGAAGAGATGCTTCATTAGTGGGACAGCTGAGGCTTGAGACGCTGAGGTGAATATAGATTTTTACACATGAACAGAGAGCAGAGAGCAGCTGTGCTTATCTGATGTACTAACAGCCAGCAGAGACATGGAGATAACACACACGGTACACAGAAACACAATGAGCGTGTTAATGTGCATTCACACACCAGTGCAGTTATATTATGTAGAGAGAAGCACAGGGATGCACCAATGGAAACACACACCTAGCCACCTTTCTCAGAGGTAAACTAGCATGCTCTAGTTTCTGCCCACTGCTTCCTGACTATCCTATCCACTAATTCAGATCAAACATGGCTAAAAATCAAACATCCACCTCTGTATAGCAGCCACTCCATCCAGTGTTTGAAATCGCGAAGGTTGCAGTCACATTCCCAGGGGTTGTGTCCCAGTTCCAGGTGTTGTAAGTTGGCAAGGGGCTCAAATGCTGCCCTTTCTAAACCGTGAAGCCTGTTACCTGCTAGAGACAGCCACCTATGGAATAATGACAATAAAATTCATTTATTCTCTGAACTCCTACAAAAGAGAAGAATTTACCCTTGTGGCACTGATTTAAAAACAGCTAATAACAATTCTATGCACAGTGCTACCACTGCTGGACAGTAATTACTGTTTTTAACATCTTCATCCTACTGTGTTTACTATCTTTTCCATCCTTCTGGTCTGATCATTCCACCCACTCCCAAAAATCAGATTTGCCTTATTAGCTATACATTTTCCACCATTTATTTTTTACATAGTTCTATGCTAACAGGAATACTGACTTTGACCTAGGTCATAGGTTTGACTAATCTACGACTATTGACTTTAGTATTATTATAATGTTTATATCTCTGTGGAGACTATAAGGGAACATTGGATAAAAATCATGTCAGTGTAGAAGAGTTTGTACAGATATGTATCTACCTGAGATTCTGTAGCTCATCCAGTAGCCCCACAGGAACAGAGGACAGTCCATTCAGGGACAGGTCCAAATTCTGAAGACCCCCCAGACCCTGTAGAAACATCAAGATTGATTTTATTGTTTATAGAGGTGTCTCTATATTTTTGGCCTCCCCAGCTACAGACATGAGAGGGTCAGAATATTAGGAACGTGTCTGATTATAATGTAGTCCAATACAGCACCACCTTTAACTATGACCTCAATAATAAACTTATAATTGAATTTATACATTTATGACAATTTCACAAAAACTGAAACATTTTCAGCTTCATAAACACAGATGTTAAGGTGGAAGTGTTGCATTGAATTGCATAGATTTGTATAAGTGTACAGTGCCTTGCGAAAGTATTCGGCCCCCTTGAACTTTGCGACCTTTTGCCACATTTCAAGCTTCAAACATAAAGATATAAAACTGTAATTTTTTGTGAAGAATCAACAACAAGTGGGACACAATCATGAAGTGGAACGAAATTTATTGGATATTTCAAACTTTTTTAACAAATAAAAAACTGAAAAATTGGGCGTGCAAAATTATTCAGCCCCTTTACTTTCAGTGCAGCAAACTCTCTCCAGAAGTTCAGTGAGGATCTCTGAATGATCCAATGTTGACCTAAATGACTAATGATGATAAATAGAATCCACCTGTGTGTAATCAAGTCTCCGTATAAATGCACCTGCACTGTGATAGTCTCAGAGGTCTGTTTAAAGCGCAGAGAGCATCATGAAGAACAAGGAACACACCAGGCAGGTCCGAGATACTGTTGTGGAGAAGTTTAAAGCCGGATTTGGATACAAAAAGATTTCCCAAGCTTTAAACATCCCAAGGAGCACTGTGCAAGCGATAATATTGAAATGGAAGGAGTATCAGACCACTGCAAATCTACCAAGACCTGGCCGTCCCTCTAAACTTTCAGCTCATACAAGGAGAAGACTGATCAGAGATGCAGCCAAGAGGCCCATGATCACTCTGGATGAACTGCAGAGATCTACAGCTGAGGTGGGAGACTCTGTCCATAGGACAACAATCAGTCGTATACTGCACAAATCTGGCCTTTATGGAAGAGTGGCAAGAAGAAAGCCATTTCTTAAAGATATCCATAAAAAGTGTCGTTTAAAGTTTGCCACAAGCCACCTGGGAGACGCACCAAACATGTGGAAGAAGGTGCTCTGGTCAGATGAAACCAAAATCGAACTTTTTGGCAACAATGCAAAATGTTATGTTTGGCGTAAAAGCAACACAGCTCATCACCCTGAACACACCATCCCCACTGTCAAACATGGTGGTGGCAGCATCCTGGTTTGGGCCTGCTTTTCTTCAGCAGGGACCGGGAAGATGGTTAAAATTGATGGGAAGATGGATGGAGCCAAATACAGGACCATTCTGGAAGGAAACCTGATGGAGTCTGCAAAAGACCTGAGACTGGGACGGAGATTTGTCTTCCAACAAGACAATGATCCAAAACATAAAGCAAAATCTACAATGGAATGGTTCACAAATAAACATATCCAGGTGTTAGAATGGCCAAGTCAAAGTCCAGACCTGAATCCAATCGAGAATCTGTGGAAAGAACTGAAAACTGCTGTTCACAAACGCTCTCTATCCAACCTCACTGAGCTCGAGCTGTTTTGCAAGGAGGAATGGGCAAAAATTTCCGTCTCTCGATGTGCAAAACTGATAGAGACATACCCCAAGTGACTTACAGCTGTAATCGCAGCAAAAGGTGGCGCTACAAAGTATTAACTTAAGGGGGCTGAATAATTTTGCATGCCCAATTTTTCAGTTTTTTATTTGTTAAAAACGTTTGAAATATCCAATAAATTTCGTTCCACTTCATGATTGTGTCCCACTTGTTGTTGATTCTTCCCAAAAAATTACAGTTTTATATCTTTATGTTTGAAGCCTGAAATGTGGCAAAAGGTCGCAAAGTTCAAGGGGGCCGAATACTTTCGCAAGGCACTGTATCTAATAAAGTGGCTGGTGAGTGTAGAACTTAAAGCGAAACGAGAGCCTCATTGCAAAACATAATGTGTCACAGTAATCATTTTATTATAAGTATCTCATTTTCATTTTCAGTGTTGTTAGAGAGGTGTACCACCAAATATAGTGTTGTAAACTGTGCATACCTGGAATAGCCCTCTGTCCATTACTGTGAGTGAGTTGTTGCGCAGAGTCAGTCTTGTCAGGTTGGACATGTCTCTGAATAATCCAGATGGTAAATTATCCAAGTAGTTATTAGAGAGGTCCAGCTCCTAAAATAGCACAGCAAAATACATTCTTGCTTAAATATACAGTACATTAGCATTTTAGGCTATGAAGGAATCTTAAAAAATAGATGTATATCTACAAAATTACCATACATATTTATGCCTACATGCTGTTGGCAGCCATGGCCAGAGGCAATATGTTTTTGGGTCGTCCCATTCTCATGAATTTCAGTAACATCTTGGGGGAACTTATTCAGATTTGGCACAAACTTCCACTTAAACACAACAGTCAGAGGGAGTAACTAATGAGATTGTTTCTACCCAACCTTTGTGCCTGGTACAGTAACTATCCATCATTTTTGCTGTTATATTTTAAAGTTGGTTGGGCTTTGCAAAACATGAAAATGTCAACTTTTCTTAACTTCAGAGTGAGAGCAGAGGTTGTCTGCAGTTTGCTCAGTGACTCTCATCATACAGTATAAATTATTGTCCTGGGGGAAAGTCAGCATGTAAGGTCAGTGCAAAAGTGCATATGCCAAGGTACACAGCAGTGTAACAACAACTATATCATGTGCTACTGTTAGGCAAGGAAAATCTCAGTGAATTTGCTAAGCAATGTACTGCAGACCTCCAGAGAGGAGAGGTTAGCGAAGGCAGAAGCTCCCAGCAAGGCAAGCTTGTTGTTGGCTAGCAGGAGGGAGCGGCTCCCTGGAGGCAGGAGGTGCAGGGGAGGCAGTGAGGAGAGACCAGTGCCCCCGCAGTCCACCACCAGGCCATCTGAGGAGCAGAGGCAGGGAGGGGGGCAGGAGGAGGCAGGCAGCGGCAGCAGCACCGCCAGGAGGCAGAGGACACAAAGGAAGGCTGAAGGAGGAAACAGGTTAGAGAGGAGAAAAAAAAGACATGCTTAGTTAGTTCTTCCTGAGGATTATCAGTTCAGTGATTAGTACAACAGAGGAACTAGAGAGAAAGGGCAAAGAAAATGACAAGAAGCAGAAAATGTCAAAAATGATGGAGTGCAGTAGTTTTTAAGTGGAAATTATAATTAAAAATGAAGACACATGGTTAACCTGACTGTCCATGAACAGGACTATTAGTCAGTCAACCAATTTATTGCTATGGATTTTGTTAGATGTATGATAGAAAAGAAGGAGTTCCATAATAAGGATGTAGAAACCACAGCTGCCCTTACTGTCTATGGCTTCAGAGTCATGTGAAGAGTGTGGATGATTCAAACAGGAAAAAAGAAAGGAAAACAGAAACAAAACAAAGAGTGGGAGTGGGGAGGAACATTGGCTCAGCCCTAATACAATACCGGAGGCAGTTTTGACATGCTTTTTAAATGCTGAAATTATACAGCAAATTTCCATTTCCATGGATGTTTTGTGGATGTATAAACTGCACAGAGGATCTCACTTTGTGTTTGTGTGTGTGTGGGGGGGGGGTCTGGGGATGTAAAACCAGGAGCACACAAGCTTTGTGGGGGCCAGGGTCATTTTTTGCGGACCAGAGGCCAGTCCCCATGATGTGCTTTGTCAAATTTTTCCAAAAATGACTGTCAAGTTGGAGTTAGAGCAAGTGTCATCTTTGGTTAAGGGTTAAGATTAGGCAAGCAGTGGTCATGATTAAGATTAGGGGAAGTTTTCCAGAAGTGAATGTAAGTCTATGCGGGGATCCAGTAAGTGATCGAAATCAGGATGTGTGTGTGTGTGTATCTAGCCTACTCTTGTTAATATTTCCATGGCAGCAGTTTCTTCTGCAGTGGCACAAAACCATCTCTTTTCAGCAGAAGCTGTACTTGTGTGTATGTGTGTGTATCTCTACAACAGTCTCTCCTTATTAACACTCATGAGGGAAATCCCCTTTATTTTATCTGATTTTCAGCTCAGTGTTTTCCTGCATACTACAGACATTTCATCATTTCTCCTCATTAGCTCCATTTCTGTGGTTAAGAATTTCTCTTTCATTCTTCAAATTTTCATGCCCATCCTTTATTACTAGATACATTTTTCTATCATCTTTTATTACGTTATCTAGTTTTTGCTTCTTTTCTGGATTAATTTGCATGTCTTTTTGCTTCCTCTCTCTCCCTCTCCATTTTGTAATTCTTTCTCTCCCACTTGAGTGTCTTTATCTTTTTCATTCTCTTTCACTTCGAGTCTCTCGGCACTACTCTGTATTCCCTCAGTGTCTCGTTATAGTGGCTGACTTTGTTTCCATCCAACGGCTTATCAGCACAACTTATGCTTTAATTCACCATGTATGTGTGTGTGTATGTGGTGCATAAGCTTGTGCATTTGTGTGTGCATGTCTATTAAGCACCAACAGAGTGTGATATTAAGAAATTTACTCTGCCTAAACTACACACACTGATGTAGCACATTTTATTTCCTGACAAGACTCTTTGCTTCATCAGCAGATTTCATCACCTGCAATGTCTGGATCTGTTTCTCAGTGTGTCATTGCCTTTTGTCATACCATGCCTCACCCCTTCTGTGCCAATTTTTCTGTTAGTTTTTCCTCTATATTTGCTTTCTTTTCATTTTTTTTCTCTCCCTCCTTCCATTCACACATAAGATTAAATCCACTTTCATCACACATATAGGCTGCCTAGCTCTAAATGTGATTAAACTTTGAAAAACAGCCCTTTACTGGTCAGTCCACATTGTGATATGTAAAAAAAAAGTGATGATCAGGAGATATTACATAATAAAGATTTAGTCTTTGTAACCTGACCTCTGTATCTCATCATTAGTAAAATATGAAGTTCGTCATCGTGCAGTGAAAAAGAGTTGAGATGTTTTTAAGCTGGGCATAAATAGACTTCCTGTGAGAACTAAAACAAGAAATAAATCAAATCAAATCAAATTTTATTTGTATAGCGCCAAATCACAACAAAAGTCATCTCAGGACACTTTACAAAGTAAGGTCTAGACCTTACTGTTATCAATATTATTACATAGGGAAAACCCAACAAATCCCCCTTGAGCAAGCACTTGGCGACAGTGGGGAGGAAAAACTCCCTTTAACGAAAGAAACCTCTGACAGACCCCGGCTCTTGGTGGGCGGCCTTCTGCCTCGACCGGTTGGGGTGAGTGGATAGAGGAGAGACAAAAGAAGAAAAGCAACAAGACACAACAATCAAACACTGATCAGGTCGATGTGGCCGGTGACTGCTCTTTACAGGAGATCATACACATTCACCCATTCACACACACATTCACACACCGATGACGAGAGGCTGCCGCACACTGGCGCCAGTCAAACCACCGGGAGCAATTTGGGGTTCTGTGTTTTGGTCGGGGACAATTAGGCATGCGGGTAGACCGGGAGTCGAATCACCAACTTGCTGGTTAGAAGACGACTGCCCTACCTCGTAAGCCACAGCCACCCCCAATAACTGTTTATCCACTGCACAGACAGTGAATTTTAGTCTTGTTAATGATATGTTATGTCAGAATGGAAAAAAAATGTCTATTTTGGGCACATGCAACCTTAACTGCAATCTTTAAAAAAATTATTTAACTGCAAACCTGTATTTGTGGTCTACAAAGTATTTTAACAAGACAAGTCTGTATTGAGAACAATGACCAAAATTATATAATTTTTAATTTTAAAAATAGGCCTTTTGATCTAGTTTAACCAATTCTGACTTGTCATAGTAGGAAAAGCCTAGGTGTTACTGATACCAATGTCTGTTCTATTCAAGTGTGCCAATAAGTCATGATACACAGCATGCACAATACGAGGACCCTGATCCAGAAAGAGCTAATGGATTTCAGCCATTAGTAGTTTGTACCTCTTTTCTTATAACATGTCATGTCAAAATTCATTTCATTATTATTGCTAAATTAAAATCACTACAGTTTCAGAATGGCAAGTGCACAATTTTATTTAAAAAAAACTGTTCAAGCCTTATAGAAGCTATACAGTATCTTAATTTAAGCAGGTTTTTAAACAATTTCTCAAGGCAATGTTTATTTTTAAGAGGAATGTGTAAATACTACATTTCTGAGTGAAGAATTCATATTAAAATTATTAAAAGTATTTGATTATATTGTATAGAAACTATTGTGTAGTTCTGAGAATAAATGCTGACAAAAAGTTAGAAATAGCATATTTTTTTCAGGCAGATTTTACATGACTGTCCCATTTTGCATACTGCACCAAAAAGGTTCAGAAAATAAAGGCTGTGGCCTGTAAAAAAAAACAACCAAAGCTCAGAGTGTGAACATTATCTTGTTCCTATATCCATTATCTTCTGCTCAGTCCTGCAGTGTAATCCTAATCTCTGGGAAGAATTAACTCCACTTTCTAAATGGATAAAGGCAGAGGTTTAAAGTATCCTGATGTGTCTTGTGCTGTCTTAGAGGTTCAGAAGGCCAGTCTACTGCAGCATCTCCGTAGCACTATTGAAGGATTTTGCGTTAGTGATAAGATTTGAAAAGGCACAGTATTGCAGGACATTTATGTGTGGCTCAGAGGTAGAAACACCGCTATACAATTGAGAGGGAATGACAGGAAGAGAGGGATAGAGGAACTGTGTTTTTTGCTGCTTCTCCCTCACATCATGTCACATTTTAAAAATCGCTGAACCATTCATATCACCCAGTTCATATTGTGGCCCATATTTTGCAGTCTTCTTTGCCATCTCATTTCTTTCTTCCCTGCTAACCACCACCCCTTTTCTCTCTCTTCTCACTCTGCTACTATACATTAAAACTCCCCTGCACCAACCATCCACCCTCCCTCAGTGCTGAAGTCTATCTTCCAACATTTATGAGTGGTTTTAGATGCTGTTGTGGAGGAGGTGGCTGTTGTTTTGTCTTATTTTAGCAGCTCCAAATCCTCTCTGCTGTAGCGGAGCCAAACCAGAAAAAAAATATTCAGCCACACTCAACAGGGATATAAAGGTTTAGTCCAAATAGGTTCAAGTGGTTATGTGCAGTTTAATTCAGTTCAAACAGACTTCAGATCTGATTTTTTTTTATAAGAATCCTCAAACACATGCCTTAATGTGCTGACATTTGGTGCAAGTGTAGGCTGGCAATCAGCGGTGGAATACAAACTAGAAGCATTACAAGGCAATAAAATATTCCTGTTGGACTGTTATGTTTCAGGCAGAGAAGGACCCAAAATGCAGACACAAACTCTGGTTCTAATAGTTTATCAGTCTTTATTCAAAAATATGGAACTAAAGTACTGGGTGCTCTACCTGACGGGACAGAACTAAAGATTAATAGAGCAGTCAGGGAGCCAAAAACTAAACTGTGGTAGCAAACTCAGAATGACAAACCGAATCCAAAAACTGAGACAGCAGAACATCAAACTCACAAGTGTCCAGAAACAGAACGTGAAGGCAAAAGAACCGACCGGGTGTGGAGATCAAAGCGGGAGCACGGGAAACGGGAACAAGCAAGGCATTGAGATCAGATGGGCCAGCAACCAGACTGAGGGAAGGGAGGAGGATATATAGACAGGAGACCAGGAGGAAATGAGCAGCAGGTGGAAGCAATGAACAGAAATTGTGAACCGGGGTAAAGCCGGGGCCAGTGAGGTGACACAAGACAGGAAATCTAATCAAAATAAAAGCACAAAACAGGAAGCAAGTCCACAAACTATAACATGGACTGAAGCAAGATTTCTGAGGCAACCACCAAAAGTCCCATCTAGTTGTTAGAAATGACAATCAGAGCTACTGTTTAAAATTTCCTCTTGGTATTGCCCAATTGGAGGATCCTTCCAAGCTTCAGCCTAACTTTCTTTTAACTGGGATGGTTACTGGCACAAGTGTTCACAGTCTAAGTGCATGTCTACCTGTGTATGTATATTCATTTGTGTGTTTTAAGCTGTGAAAAGATAGA